ACTGTAATTCAGTATTGTTTGCTATAGCATGTACCTTCGTTAAACTTAAGCTGTGAGAAAAATGTGTTTTTTTTCTTCTTCTTTTGGCCAGAATGTAAGTCCAGGTTAGGGGCTTCCCAGCAAAATGTGTTTAAAGAACTCTATTACTATTACTGCCTCCCTTCCTCCCCCAAAGGTATGGAGATAAGGACTCTACTTTAGCATTAGCTGTCCTCTTGGCTGCGTGAACTTATTTTACTATTCAGATAACTACTAACTTTCTGTTTTATACCTTTAATAATTTAAAGAGGGAATCCACAGCTCAGGAATCGAATCTACTCGGTTGTGCAAGCGTGAAAGCGTCCTCCTTCCGCCGGGGTGCGGAGAGTACAAAAAGGGAGGTGACACCTACCAACATTGCGACCCCGAGGCCGGCCGGCGCCTGAGCGCGGCCTTCCCGGCGTGCCCTGCGCACGTAGGAGACTTTTAATGTGAAGCAACGAGTGACTCAGCCGCGTGGCCGCGCCGGCCAGGGCGGGGGGCGTGCGCCGCTGCGGAACTGCGGGTCCCCGCGACGGCGGCGACGGCGGCTCTTCGCGGCGCGGCTTGCGCGCGCGCCTCCCGGGCGGATTCCGACCCCGGGGGAGCGACAAGTAAGTGGTAGCGTAAGACGGATTCAGGCGCGAAGACCAGGCAAGGGCGAGTCTGGCGGCGGGCATGTCCCGAGTTTTGCCTTTGTGTCCGGGGTGGGGGGCGTCTTCTTAGGACGTCTTTCCGGGCGGCGGGGCGGACCGCGGCGGCCCGGACCCTGATGAAAGGCCCGGTGACTAAAATCACCCAACAGAAAATGTCAGTAAATAGGTTATGGACGCCTGTTTTCGTACTGAAGGTAAAGTCTGATAATCCGGGAGGTGGGCGGTGGAGAACGCTATACCGAAATCATAAACCTAGGAGTCGTGGACCTTGTTTTCTGCAGGCCTTCGGTGTTTTTATCCCGTCTGTAGAGAAATGACGAGAACCTTGTAGTGTTTGTCAACAACGCATCTGTACAAGCTTATTTTTCTGGAAGTTAATTGAATTCATGAAAAATGATGTAGTTGGTCGGACTTCGTCCAAACTATCTGAAGCAGAGTGCGTTTTGCTGGGTCTTTTCACCCACGCTTCAAAGTCTTCCTTCCCTGCCACCCACAAATAACTAGCTTTCGTCAGTGGCCTGAGTGCAAAAAAGCTGGGGAGAGCCTTAACTGGTAATTTTCTTTTAAATAAAACCTTACTTTTTATAGCAGACAGTGTTTTCAGGTTTACAAGCCCAGTTCTGCACTATCAAAAAGAAAAAAAAAAAATCTATTGGAGTGTGTGAACCTTCCTGAAAATTCTTGGGTTAAACGAATTTATTAAAAAAAAAAAAACCTAGTGAACAAACAGGATAAACAAGGCTGTGGAGGAACTGTTTAACTAGCTTATGAAAATACACTTTTGTAATTCCTTTAACTGTGTCCCCCTGTTGGAGGTTAAACAGCTAGCTCCAACTGTTACCTGAGAAATTTGAGTTTTTTTTTTTAATGGTCCCAAAACAAAGTGCTGTAGTCATATCAATCAGATAATGATGAATCCAGTGTCAAAGAACTTCACCCTCAACCTCTCCCGCCTTTCTCCTTGCAAATTACAGGGCAGTAATTCACAAACATAAAGTTGCCCCTTAAAATGCCAGTAGCCTGTCTTAAAAGCTTGCAAGCAGCAGCACACTTGTGGTTTCTATTTGCCTGGAGCAAAAGAGGAAGAAGGAGAGTCAGAAATAGGAGGAGGAAATGGAATATGTGGCCAAATGCCTCCATGAACAACTGCCTCCTTTGACGTGAGACCGGAAGAACTGGATAGAGCCCACCTACCATTACCGAACATTTTGATCAAAGATTCTGCAGAAGAATCCTGATCAATAGGGGGAAAATGCAGAACAGAATTTCAAAATTTCAAATTCTCATGGCATCCAGACTTTTCTGGAGCCATGGAGGTTGGATGAACCCCTGAAACTACTGCCCTGAGATAATCTTTAAACCTTAAACTGAAACTATCCCCTGAAGTCTTCTCAAAACCAAACAATAGTTTAGCTTAACTAATAAAAAATGCCTGCCTTGAACATTATGGTCTTTTAAGAAATATCTGTATAGGATCAAATTGACAACAGCAACTCAAAAGATTAGATACGAACCTTACAGAGCAATAAGTTTATGTTAATGGGAAAGGAACAGCTTAGGAAAGGAGGGTGAGAATGGTGGCACAACTAGAAGAATGTAATCAGTGCCACTGAATTGTACACGTAGAAACTGTTAAATTGGTTTATGTTTTCCTGTGTATATTCCCAACAACAACCCCCACCCCAAAAATGCCAGCACCGTAGCACTACTCCCAGAAATTTGATGCCATGGAGCCCTAAGTCTGCATTTTAAACAAATACTCCTTCCCTTGGTCCATCGTTGGTGTTCGAAGGACCACACTTGAGAAACCACTTTAAGGATAGCCAGGGAATTTTTATAACTGCCCAACTCCCTTATCCCTTTGTTGACCTATTTCTCCTCTAACTCCAACTAGTCTTAGAAAAAACAAAAAACTCATTGCCATCGAGTCAATTCTGACTCATAGTGACCCAATAGAGTAGAACTGCCCCCTAGGGTTTCCAAGGAGCAGAGGGTGGATTTGAAGTGCCGACCTTTTGCTTAGCAGCCGAGCTCTTAACTACTGTGCCACCGGGGCTCCAAAGGCTGACTAAAAACCCTTGCCCCTCTGGAAGGAAAAGAGAGAAAAGATAGAGCTTTCTTGGACGCCAGCACCAGGGTAGGAAATGATTTTCATATGCATACTCTGATATTGCCTTGGTGGTTTAGAAATAGCCCAGGCCTGATTAATCTATCCCTTTTCCTTCTGGGGCTGCCTCCGGTATCATCAGAGGTTAAGCAATGCCGTTAGGCCAAATCTTCTTCCCCTTCTCCTGTCCCCCAACTAACTCAGTCATCCCCTCCACTTAAAACCAGGACAGCCAATGCTATGTACTTCCCCATGGCTTAGAGCTCTCAGATTCCCTGATATGCAGCAGTGCCAGTAGCAGTTGTGAGGGCTTTCAGTTCAGCTGGACGTTAATTCAGTCATGAAATAAATATCCCAGTAATGCCTATTATACGTAGGGTGTTGTAGTAAGCGCTGTTGTTAGTTGCTGTCAAGTCTGCTCTGTCTCATGGTGACCTTATGTATAACAGAACAAAATTTTGCCTGGTCCTGTGCCATCTTCATGATCATTTGAGTCCATTGTTTTGGCTATTGTGACAATCCATCTCATTGAGGGTTTCCCTCGTTTTCCTTGGCCCTCTATACTTGTGAATGATACTGGTGATCTACTTCTGAAAATTAGCCAATGAAAAACCGTGTGGATTGCATTAGCCATTGTAGTAGGCCATTTTAGTAACAACGTTGCAAATATGGCAGAATTTTATTGCTCCCTTGAAGAAAGGAGGGCCAGATGACCTCTACTGCTGCCAAAAGCTTTTTCTGTTTTTTATTCTCCTTCAAATAGATGAATAGGGATGAGGTCAGAGTTACGCCATATGTTTCAGCCTTTTTTTCTGTCTTTGGTGCCTAATTTTTCTTGTTTAATTGATCTTTTCCTGTTGATTCACGAAGTGTCATGTCTTTCTATAGTCCTGGGCTTCCTGATTATTATGTCCTCCTCCAGCTCCCAATCCGAACCTGCCAGTTCCTCCTTGCCCAACTGGAGTAAAAGGTTTAGGGGAATTTTCAGAATACTGAATGATTTCTAAAGCTTCCTACATTCTAGTCGGACGACCCAGAATCATGGAAATATGAGGCTTAGAGATATAAGGGAACCGATTACAAATTTATTTAGCACAATCCTCTCATCTTTCAGATAAAGAATCTGAGAGATGAGATGGCAGAGTGAGGACTCCTGGCTCCTAGCCCAGTGTTCTTAACACTAAATCACCTCAAGAAAATTCTTCAAAAATGGAAAAGGTCCAGAGAAAATCAATTATAAGTACATGAAGAAAATGAAGAGACTACAAAAGCAGTATCATATGGAAAATGAGGATTGAAGGAGAATTTCACTTAGCCATATAAATCATGAAAAGTGGGAGTTCTAAAATAAGGAGTTCTTTGAAGCTTGAAGTTATTAAAGGACTAATAAAAGCAAGCAGATAACTATCTTGTTATCCCAAGAGGTGTCATGAACTCGATATTTTAAAAAGATTCAGGAAAGTTTAGATAAATACTTCGGTGAATTTTTAGTAGATGTTAAATGCTTGAGCATTACCGAGATCTTTTCAAGTTGGCTTTGTAAGTATACTGTTTTCCTTACCAAAGTCATTTGGTCTTTCTGTAAGAGACTGTAAGACTGGTCTAACTATTAATCTGATTTAATATGGTATTTCTTAAGTTTGTATGGCAGATGAGATTATTGAAATAGTACATGCATTTTTGGAATAGTAGGAACGAAAAAGTGTAGATGAAAGGAGAGCCTTTTGATATTTTTGCTTGCAGTTTAGACATTGTTTTGCTTGGACATTGTTGGCTTGTTTTTGTATATTCATTAAAGTAGTAGAAGTAGAAATAATAATAGTAAGGGCTTAATAATTAGTAGAATTATTATTATGTACCAGACTTTGTACTAAATGCTTTTATATCCATGGTCCCATTTAATTTTACAGATGAGGACTCTAATAAGACACAAAGAGATGATAAGTAACTTGCCCCAAATCACACAGCTAGTAAGTGGCTGAGCCCGTGTTCAGCAGTGTCCTTCTCACTCCAAAGCCATTAAAACTTATTAATGTCCTCATTATACTTCACTGGCTTAAGAATGAGAGCTCTGGAGTCAATCTTGCTTGGGTTCAAATCCTAGTTCCTCCATTTACTAGCTGTATGAAGTATTGAACAGTTTCTATGTCTCTAAAACATAGTAACGGTACCCAAAGGGGGTTATTAGGATTGAATTAATTCACGTAAAGTGTTCAGAACTCTGCCTGACACATTGTAAGTTCTCAGGAAATGGTGGCTGTTTTAGTTTAGGTAGGTAGTGAGTTTGTAGAACTTTGTGCATTTCCTTTACGTTTTCAGATTTGTTAAGAGTACAGTTTTTCATAGTATTCTGTTAAGATTCTTTTAATTTAAGTTGGGTCTGTTATGATATCACCCATCTCATTTCTTATACAGGTTATCTGCTTCCTCTCCTGTTTTTCTTTTGTCATTTTGGCCGATGGTTTATCAGTTTTGTTGATCTTTTCAAAGAACCAGTTTTTGGTCTTGTTAACTCTTTCAGTTGTTTTTCATATTTCATTTAATTCTGCTCTAATTCTTATTATTTCCTTTCTTCTGGCACCTGAGAGCTTCTTTTGCTGCTCTCTTTCTACTTGTTTGAGTTGTAGGGTTAATGTTTTGGTTGTGGCCCTCTCTTCTTTTTGGATGTGTGCATTTATTGCTATAAACTGACCTCTGAGCACTGCTTTTGCTGTATCCCAAAGGTTCTGGTGGGATGTGTTTTCATTCTCATTTGATTCTATGAATTTCTTTATTCCATCTTTAATTTCTTCTATAACCCAGTAGTTTTTGAGCAAGGAGTTGTTCAGTTTCCATGTGTTTGATTATTTTTTCCTTGCTTTTTGTGT